CGGTCGATTATGAATAATCGTAATGTATATTATTATTATCAACGATTTGTCTCGAGACTGCAACAGTTATTTTTGAACTTGCTCTATAATTATATTATTATAGCAACACTTTCTATATGGGAGCGGGTGTGCACAATGTGGAGGCGCGGTGGGTTGTTGGCTTTGGCTGTTACCAACACAGACCGCAGCGTCGGACTATTATTTTTCCTAACTGTACTTAAAAGTATTTTATTGGTTTTTCCCAAACACTATATAATAATATTTATTGTGGTGCCCCGCCGGGTCCATACTCTCCGCATCACCGGCCCGTTATTGGCTAGGAAACCGACATCCAGGAATAGTTGTAATAACGTCGGACGAAACTCTAAGTTAATTTTTCCGGTTCGCCGGCTCAATGATTTACGCCCCGGCCTTCTTGGATTAGTCTTTTAAACGGGGTTTATTGCCAAACACACTACACGTACAATATACATATTATACAATACAGACAAGACAACGGCTGTCCGTGCAGAAAGTGAATTACAGGCCAATTGCACAGTAACCGTGGTCCGTGTTCACAATAATGTTGTACAGCGCGCATTACGGTAATAATTAATGTTATTGGCATAACGATATTATGTACTTAAGCGGTTCGACCACCGTTAAAGGCGATCGTGCCGGTAATTTTCGTATTCTCACAATGTACCTACATACACCTGTACAGCCCGCATAAATACCACAGTCCACGGTTCGTGCGGCGACTATACAAATAGGCGGACAAAACAAACCGGCATTGGTGAATTATTATAATTATTAAATAATGGAATCCTTTGGAGAGCATTTGGTTTTTACATTTATGTTCGGTATGTCATAATGACTAAGCTTTAGACGTTCTGTTCTCAAACAGATCGATCGGGCTTCAGGGCCGAACACGTGGCTACGAAAGAGCCCAAACAATAATAATATGACCCCATTAGACATTTTTTTGGTTCTTGATGGGACGGTGAAAAATATTGTTTATTTGGAGAAAATTCATTACGTCAACAACATACGGGAAAGAATTATTGCTGCAGTAGCTTCGGCCGTTACACCCGAAATACTGGCGAGTAGGTGCGTGGGACTACCGTTGTTATGTGCGCAGGTCAACAAATGGAGCACACCACAGTCTATTAAACATACAAAAAAAAACTCGAAAGATTACCCTTTCAGCGAATATAATGTAGGTACTCGCGTAGTTAACGTTTTAAGTACAACGGTTGAAATTTGAACCGAGGAAGTATTTTATAAACGCCCTGTATAATATAGTATGAAATACTCGCGCGGTATTCGGAAGTAACACTCGATGAAGTGTAATATTATTTTAATACCCGATTAAACGTTAACGTTATATATATAATATATATAATGATATAACGATTCTCAAAGAATATGCACATTAATCCACGGCGATTATCCGGACGTTGTACGACGAAGGTTGTCGGCGTTTATCGGGCCAACGATTTCCGTCATTAATCAGGTCTTTCCTTCAACCGGAAGTAATATTAGCGGTATTATAGTTTATACAATAATATCATAATATATACATTTATATTTGTATTTTGTAAACGAGACTTGTGAGACTACACTGATACGTGTATATGTGTGTGTGTGTATAACCACACTAGTGGTTTTACCTTTATACTCGGTAAATGCTGAAAGGGCGGACGCCCGGGGTAGGTATGGGATAAGCGGATGTACAGAAGAAGGAGGACGTTGAAAAATGACCATTTCGTCGATTTTATTTTTCATCCATTTGCAAAACGGCACCGATGAGAGATAAATTGATTTGTACCAACTCGGATGTCCGATTACACGGTGAAGAGTAAACGGTCCGGGCCCCATACAACGTATAATACAAGTATACATCACGCGAACGAAACCGATGCTAGTTCGTCGAATTTATTTTTTCTTTTCTTGACAATATACATAACATGATATCGTTTTATTTATTTGTGCATTTCATTTGAATATAATATATCTATATAGTTTTTCTCGGAAGTGGAATATATTATAGTACATTATTTATGGGCAGTCAAGATAAACAGACAATTATATTGTTGACCAAACTCGTGGAACTCAAATTCTTTATCTGGACAAGCGATGCATTCGAATCACTAGTAGGAAAATATAAGAAATAATAATTGATCTAAACTTAAGTAAAAATTGACTCAATTATGAATTATGGCTTTTTGCATTATATATCTGGTCTGTCTATTGATCGTCAAACCCGTAAAAATTGCGTATTTAGTACGGTAGTATTTTAATATAAAATTATAAATATAATTTGGTTTTTAAAATTTTGCCGTGCTAAGAATAAACGCACTACAATATTTATAATTTTGCGATAATGGTGTCTAAAGATTTTTATAACCGTTTTGTATGATTTTTTAAAGTAAAAATTTCTAATTCTATGTTCAAACCTATTTTATTATGTTTTGAAAATAAATATAAATATAGCAAGTTTAAATTTATTTACATTTTAGAAACTATAACGCAGTAAATTTAAATCAGAAGCTGAAATGCAGTAAACCCATTAATTTACTGTGAGTTTATAATTTACCACGAATTCTCTATGAGTTTAAACTTTGAAAAGTTGTAAACATTTCAAATACGATTTTCCAACAATTAACATTTAGGAGTTACTGAGTTTTTGCTTAGCATGACAGAATTCCATAGAATATTTTTGTAAAATATTACATTTTTTTTGTCTCAATGCAAAAAAAAAACCTTAACATTCAAATTGAAATGTCGGGATATTATAATTTGAATAATAAACATTTAATAATCACATTCGATAGTTGCGTGAATTTTGTAAAAAAAGATATATAACATAAAGGACACTAAAGAGAAAGTGTTATAGTTTTTTTTTATAAATTAAGGTCTTTACATTTAAGTGGAACAATTTATTTTCTAGGTTTCTAAATAAAAAAAAATAAGTTTTATGTATTATATATATAAATATAGACATTTAATTACCGATTAAAAAATAACTGAAAAACGTTACGTTAGCTAGATCGTTGAGTTAATATATATATATATTATTAACAAGCTTAGTGTTACCTTTATTCCCACACCTTTGATATCTATAACATACTCTCATATGATATTATAGTCTCAGAACAAAATAATAGATGATAATATTATGGTGTAGTGATGTATTATGATAGCGTGGAGAAAAATAAAAATAAAAAATGTTCGGAGGTAAAAAACCATAAATCATATTCGAACTCCGTATTCTTTTCCGTGGAAATTGTGTCGGATGGATATATACAACTGTTCCGAAATGTGTGTACGACCTGCTGCTCGGTAAAGTTCGACGTTCGGGAAAAACAAACAAAACTAAACATTTATGTGTATTTATTGAGGTCATGTAATATGTATTACGGAGAGGTAATAATAATATACCGGTACAAGCCGGATATATTATAACATAATATTGTAGTTTCACATAGCAATAACAACACTATGCCAGTTTCTACGCCGTCATTTTTAGTAAAAAAAAACAAAAAAAACAGACTTTTCGAATCACAATAAAGGTCGCCTGTATAATACTGACGCAGCACAGCGTGGTACGAGAACGACATTTAGATGGCAAAAATAGTCAATTAAAAAAAAACAATTTTCAGTATTTTGAACATTTTTAGTAGCCTATTTTTGTCACCTAAATTACATTTCAAGGCAACTGTGCGGGCGCGTGTAAAAATTATACTTGTATAATTATATAATTATGGTGTGTTTATCGTACACATTTACATAATATTTTGTGTCATATTGTTATTATTGGTACTATTATTATTTTGTTTGAAGAATAATACCCTTCCGATGATGTACATACGGAGGCTGTCAGACACGCGTGCGGCGGGCCAAAGTAACCGCATTATAGACTTCACGCGTTCCCGCGGTTGACTTAAATTGTCACGTATTTAATTTAAATTCAAATCACTCGTATGCGACCGTATTGTTTGGGTTCTGTATGGAAAATTTCATTAGACACAAACACCGTCCAAAGCACACTAGTAAGGTATCTGCACCGACGAGTAACGTCGACAGTCGTGCACCCATTGTTCATAAAAAATTGTTTTTCTTCTAAAACACTACTACTGCAAATATACTGTTTATACGGTGTATGTTTGTTAGGTTTACGATTCGAATGAAATATAAAGACCCTCGGTAATTTCCCGTTTTTATTTTTTAACTAACAATATACGATGTAATATTCAAATTTGTATTACAGCATAATATAATATGTTGAGCTGTTGTTTAGGTTTCTCTTATGGCTTACCCTTTTAATCGATAGTTGCTTATTCAAAAAAAAAAAAATCCCCTAAAATTTCAGAACTCTAGTTCAATTTTAAATCATGATTTTTTTTTCATTTGATTAAGTTCTATTGACTTTGATTAACAATTATTTTTTTTTTAGAAAGTTATCAGTTTTATCAGTTTTGATGTGCTGTAACTTAATAAAAAAAATTATCTCGAGATATTGAGAGACGGATTTTGTAGTGTTATATTTCAGCTTTATTAATATTTTTATTAAATTGTAAACAATTGATTTTTCCAAGTTAAATTTGTTTAAAATAAAAAATTTAAATTTCCCATGTTAATCAAATACAAACAAAAATTCACGATGAAGTATTTTAAAATTAAGCTAGGGGTCTGAAATTTTAGGGATTTATTATCTGGCTTCTATCGATTGGGGGTACGGAGATAAGTAAAAAATGTTTTTTCAGACAGTCAACATTTAAAATAGTATACATTTACAATAACAGTCGGTTTAAAGAGAGAGTAATAAATATAAGTAATAAAAACCGGAAAATTAGCCAAATGTATACTTGACAACTTAATAGATACTATTTTTTAACTTAATGGATGAAAGCCTAACGGAACCGTAATTGATGACAGATAGCTTAGCGCTCGGGTATATTTTTAACCGTTTCACTGAACATATTATTTTATAATAATCGATGTGATTTTTTTTGCAGGTCGCCCACCACCTCGCGTCACATGGTGGCAGGAAAACGCTTTGTTGGACGAATCTTTTGAAATTCTACCGGACAGAAAAGTTCGAAACGTGCTTCATCTGGAACGACTGGACCGCCATCACTTGAACACCGTATTTACATGCCAAGCATCCAACAACCACATGGTGCCACCCATATCTAGTGCCGTTACAATGGACATGATCCGTAAGTAACCGACCATACTACTTTAAAAATATTTTCATTACAGTGTTTGAATTAGATTTACTATAACATATTGCTGGTCAGTATAAATTTTCGGCAATAACAGTCAGTTTGATCACGTGTATCGCTTGTATGTAGCTATAATATAACAAAATATTGACCCCAAATTTAAAAACTATCTAGACATAATATTTAAAATGTCTAATTGGTAATAACTAATAATTCTTATTATGGCTTTCGTTTATACATTTAATGTGGTTTTTCGTGAATACATTTATTAAAGAACGATATAGTTCAGGAAAGATTTTCGTATTTAACATTGACACACATAGACAGATTAACATTATAGAGACATCAATAAATCTTCTTCTTCTTCTTCTTCTTCCAGCTTTAAAGGCCATTAAGGCCCATCGCTGCAAAACAAATCTTAGTTCTTTTTTATTTTTGTCCATCCACCTCTGTTTCGGTCTTCCAATCGGCCTTCTTCCCTGAGGAATCCAGCTTAATACATCATTTGATATTGACTTAGCCCTTAGCACATGTCCAAGCCAACTCAGTCTCTTATGGCGTATTTCCGCTATTATGTCTGGTTTTCCGAATAATTCCTGAAGTTCTCTGTTATACCTAATTTCGTATGTTTGGTCTTCGTTTCTTTTTGGTCCGTAAATCCTCCTAAGGAATTTCCTCTCCATGATAGCTAGTCTATTCTCATCTCCTTGGGTCGTGGGCCATGTCTCTCATGCATACATTATCACTGGTCTAGCTAGTACTATGTAAAGTCGTTCTTTTGATTTTTTTGACAGTAGCTTCGACCCCAATAACCCCAAGAGGGCGTAAAAACATGACATCAATAAATGCCTAAAATAATTGACCGATAATGACAAACTAATGAACGCGTATCCTTAAATTACCACTTATGTAGGGTTATTATCAAAGATTGAGAGGATCCACTATGTAAAACTGATTAGCTAATAATCAGTATCATTTCCAAAGCGCTGAAGCGAAGAGAATCATAAGGATCTTCCAAAGTATGAATTCATCGTTAAAGGAAGGTCCATTTAATAATGATCGTATTTTGATATAATAACGTTTAATGTGACAAATAAAATAAATTATACATTATTATTAATACTGATGAAATAATCAATGCCGTTATCGTGATGGAATCATCAGAGCCGAACCTAACCTGACTAGAGACCATCTTGGTTAACGACCGACACCATCGGCACAGTCTTAGCTATTTCTATTGACTTTATGTCCATTCATTTTATTTTATTTTCTGACCTCGCTTATATCTATGTGCGTGAGAGTACCAAGGTATATCGCACTTCCAAAAACTGTTTGATATTTTCACCGTATTGTAAAATAAAATATTATTAAACCCAATGAGCCCACTGATGATCTTACAGTATAATATCATTATACATATATCCAGAAACGCAGGATATCGCTATAACAGTGAACGCTTATTGCTAACAATGCCAACGAGCAACTTGCAAGTGATCAAAGGACAAACTTTTCTGATATATGTTACATGTGTACAGTTTGCACAGCTCTGACTGTGCCCACCCAAAGGAGACGACGTTAACGATTGAACCGATTTTGATTTATGACTCGTTTCTCGCTACTATCCGATTTAATTTTCAGTAAACGAATTTATTTATGTTCTCCCTAGGGTTTAGCAGCAAACAACGGTACCTATATTTATATAAATTACATAGATCATACCACACTGGATTATTATTATACATTTAGTCGCCAGTATAAAATATTACAGCAAAGTAACTAAAACATTTTTCTTACTCTCTTAAAAAAAAAAAAAATATATTATTATAAATGTTATGTATTACAATTATTTATTTTTTACCAAACTCTCTAATATTCATTAGTTAGTGGATATAAGTAAGAAATATTACTGCAACTTGCAGTCTGCAAGTATATTTATAGTTCATAAAATAACATACAGCGTGTTCCAAAATAATACTATTTTAAGGATTTTATTTAAATAACTTCTCTAAATAAACAACAAATATTTTTTTTAAATTATTCATGATAAACGGTTCTAGAAAAGTTATTATCAAATATTAGTTTAAGTTTTCTTCATAAAAAATTACTTTTTAAAAGTTAGTTAAATATTTGACCTACCATAGAGAATATATATGTTCTTACCACAGTATAAAATATAAAAATGTGCAAAGAATATTATTATACATGTATTTTTCTATTTTCAATCAAACGTATAGTATTAAACTCGTGGTACTTAGTTTAATTTTTATAATGTACTTAAACATTTTTTTGTTATTCGAGTATCTGAATATTTTTTTTTTTTTTTGTACAAATGTATAATGTGAAAAACGCAGATTCTCAAAACAACACAATATATTAATTTAATTTAGCATACTGTAGGTATAAAAAATGTACATGGACTGTGATTTCATATTGTTTTAAATTAATAAAAGATAATTGATGAATGATATTTATTAACCTCTCGTTTTTTTAATAGGTAGGTAGAAGTAATAATTTGAAAACAAATTTGACCGTTAAATAACTGCTTTGCAGAAATAATGATTTATAACAACTGATGGCCAATTAACTGGTAATTGGCCATCAGTTGTTATAAATCATTATTATTGTTGATAAAAAAACAATTTACCAAGGAATAGACGGGCTGTTCACCAAATAGATGCTCATTATTGGCCAAACAATATATTATTCTGCTGTACACTATTATTGTTCTCCGATCAATAGGCACAACTTTGGGCTAACCCTTCCGGCGTTCAAACTAACCAAATTATCCGAAAAGTTTTGTTTGCTGAGTAAAGTCAAATTTATTTCACGTGCCAGTACCTCAGGCGACAACGTTGGTCGATTTAGACACAAGATCAGTGGGCAATAAGTGTGCACGATCCCGTAAATCTGAATGATAATAGTTGGTCCCATTAGCTCGGGGTATTTATATGATACATAATAGGTACAATAGCAATAATTATATTACAAGGTAACCCGTATAACGAGACCGGCGTCTTGTAATTAAACTAGCCATGGTATGAGGGGTGTACAACGTTATTTCTCAGCAAACACTAGATAGTTTCAAATGAGCTATTTTACTATGTTCTTTCCCTCGATAACATTTTTTTTAGTACCGCAAGGAGCAAAATTACCCTCTCTGCTGAGTGCTGTCTAGTCTCGCCATAAAATGCCTCAGATAAAATTTAATAATTTTTTTAATAGTCAATTTTTACATTTTGTTTATATTTTCAAATAAAAAATAATTTTATTTGTAGCTTAATGTTCTGCTGTAAGTATTTTAAACTCTATATCGTTCTTCTTCACTTAATGTATTCCAACATGGGATCTATCCTTCCGCCTTCTTAAACTTTCTAAATCTTGTTTATCTAATAATCCATCCATCATATGTAACTGCTTTGTAGGTTACCCTTTGGCAAACAAAATTATCATTATCATTATCTGACTATTCATTTTTATTTTTTATGCCTCCCCTCTGATAAAACAGAAATCCGTTATATCACTGAAATACGGAAAATACCCTAGGAACAAAACTATAAACACCATATTGATGATTTATTTGGGGCACTAATAACAATACCCAAACTCCAGGAGAACTATAGTAGTGATAATACTGTGGCATGAAGCAACTCGACTTGGCTACCTTTTGTGGGTACACTAAATATGGTGATCCATATCTGTCTATCATACCTATCGATCAAAAAATATATATGTGATTGGTCTTTAAGGAGCTAAAAGTTTAAACTTTTTACCATAATTGCGAAACGAAACATCAAAAGTGGGTGGTTGACATCGATTTTTTCTTACTATTTAAATGTATTTTATCTAAACATAGTTTTATTGCCGTGCTCAATTTGATAATAGCTTTTTTTTCATGCGAATCAGCGTAGATTTTTTATCAATTGTCGCCATAAAATATGCAAATAATATATTACTTAATCTTAATGATAATAAAAATTTATATTTGAAGATATTATCAAAATCGAGTATCCATACTTAAAGATAATATTAAAACAAAAATTAACAATACAAGAATAATAATTAGTAAGAATACTAAACAACTCAAACAGCTAAGTACAGTCCAAACGTTTCAATGCGAATCTGGCGATTTTTTTTTACTGAGCTGGTTCTTACTATTCTTGGTTTAGAGTTTAGACTGTACTAAGCAAACCTAGTACAACCTAAACAGCTACACAGTAAACCAGTTAAATGGCTGTACAGTTCAAACTATGCAGTCTTATACTGTACTAATATTCGTATTATTCCCATACAGATTTACATCGAAACATTTGACTGTAACGAAATCACTCTGAAATTTAATAATGGTTACTTTGACCTTACTTTGCTAACTTCTTCTGTACTGATTTATATTTTACTAGGTTTGGATTATACTTGGTTCAATGGTCTAGCTCTTCACTTTACTTTCTTTCTTAAGTACTTTTTTTTTACTATGCTGGTTTCTTACTATCCACAGGTTTGGTTTTATTAACACACTGCTAGATAATATACTGCCTACTTAATGTTCTTGCCTTTGTCTTCCAATACGATGTTATAGTTATACAACCGTTATTTATTATTTTCGATCGCAATAACAACGTTAAAATACTTAACAAAGGGAAGTACATTTTCAAAAGTAAAAACTCCTCCAATGGCTCAATAACCTCTCAATTTGATATAAATAGCATTCGAATGGGAAGATTAATTAATTCGAGCCTTTACTGCAAACCTTTTTAAATTGCAGCTGATATTTAAAATCGTTTTTGTATAGTATACACTACGGTTCAAAATTAGTTTTAGATAATAACTAAGGCTTCGTCCATTACCAGGTAGGTCACAGATTGCGGAGCACTGTACCCGGCCACTACGACCACGGTATAGGACAAGGGTATTATATCTTAAGTGCTGATAATCTTAGTGTCGATAAGTGTAGCGTTAGTCTAGATATTTTCTGATAAAGAAATGGATCTGCTTAGAAA